CAGCAGTGGTTGTAGGAGAAAGAAAATGAACAAGGAGAGACTACAGCAGTGGCAAGAAAACCAGCACCAGTGGCAACTGGAACAAAAAAAGGAAACAAGAAGTACAAATGGAAAAGATGAGGAAATTTCAAAGTGAATTAAATACATTAAAGGATCATTTACTGTCTTTTACACAAGGGGGATATATTAGCCATGGACCTAATCAGCCCCATACAACAGGAAGCAACTTCCAGACCCCACAGACATCTTCAGTCCTGTCAGAAGTCACATTCCAAACATGAGTGTCAGCAATAGGGGTGATCCAGTATGAAGGAAGCCACAGGAATTTGATGGGAAGCATATAGAGCACAATTTGAGCTACTGCCATAAATGAATGGATGGACAGAGGAGCAGAAATCAGTGTACCTGGCAACGAGCCTGAAGGGACAAACACTGGAAATACTTGGACAGTTGTCAGCAGATTACAAGCATAACTATAGAGCACTAGTAGCTGCTCTAGAACATAGATATGGAACTCAAAATGAGTCCAAAGTCTACTGGGCTAAATTTAGGACAAGAGTCCATGCTAAAGGGGAGAGCCTGCAAGAGCTGGCACAGGATTTGGAAATTAGGACACACAAGGCCTACCCAACTGCACCACCCGATGTCCTCAAGCTGTTTCTGAGGGATCAGTTTGTAGATGCCTTGGACAGTCCACAAATGAAGATACAAGATGCAATGACCAGAGCTCTTGAATTCGAATCCTACATTAAGTCCAGCACAGAGGTACCAAGGTTGTTACAGTCATCAGGATTCAAGGCCAGAAAAGGTCAGCTTTCAGAGAGGTTTGAGGGACTTTGCTGGCACTGTAACAAACCAGGGCACAAGAGAGCTCAATGCCGGCAACTTCAACACAGGAAAGATGCTATGGCAGGAAAGGCTGCTACCCAAAAAGGTTGTTGGAACTGTGGAGAGCAAGGACATATGAGGAGCCAGTGTAAGAAGAATATTACCAATAAGTCAACCTCAAGAAAACCAGTAGTGGTTCGTGTTGATGGACACCTACCAATTGTGAAATGCCAAGCACACATAGTGTCTACGTGACAGGAAAGCAGGATGGTCAAAGGTGCAACTTTGTCATAGATTCTGCATCTCAGCAAACCCTCGTGAGTATGAAAGTGTAAGATCACAAAGAAGTACCAGAAGCCATACAGAAGCTTTGTGGTGTGACAGGACATTATGCAAGGTTGTGGGGACCAGTGTGGGTAACTATTGAGCTCATGGGCATGAAGGACAGACACAAAGTATACTTGGCCAACATTGAAGACCAATGCATACTAGGGTTGGACTACTTACTACCGAGAAAGTGTGTAGTTAATTTTGAGAAAATGACGATTGGAAACAACAAAGGCTAAATTTCAGTAAGTGTTGCTGCATCCGTTAATTTGCATGTCACAGCACTTAATTCAACTACAATACTCCCTAT